TAATAAAAAACTTAAATTATTCTACTATCCCAGTGCAAGAACTCCAACCCCTGGGATCTGACAAAACTAAGAGCTGTATAACTTTTAATACATGGTCAAGCAAAGTCCCTGAGACCAAGGTAACTAGTGGGAAGACATGGTGTCATAATATAACCGCTTACTGCTCAGGATCATCTCCAAAGTTACGATACAATGATAAAATACCTAAAGCTCTACCCCCAGGACATTTCTTGATATGTGGAGACCATGCATGGCCAGGAACTCCTTCCAAACCCTTTGGAGGACCATGTTATCTAGGTAAATTGTCCCTGTTTGCAGCCTCCAAAAGGCATTTAGTCCAGGGCATGAAGGACAGCCTCCGCAGAAACAAACGATCCATTGGGCAATTAGGCCCGAATTGCGATAACACTTTAAGAATCTGGAATCACACAGCAAGATATTTGGCGGCATTATTTGTACCAAGTATAGCTGCAGGGAAAGCATTGGCAGATATACATCATTTGGCATGTTGGGCGGCTAAGCAATTAAATATAACTTCAGATGTGATATCCTCACTTGCCACAGACACAGATAGTGTAAGACATGCATCTTTACAAAACTGAGCAGCAACTGACTTTTTATTATTGGCCCATGGACATGGTTGTGAGGATTTCGAAGGCATGTGCTGCATGAACTTATCTGACCATTCTGAATCAATTCATGCTAAGCTGCGAAAATTGCAGGAAAATATGCAAGAGCTTAGAATTGTTGGAGGAGGATTGGATGAATGGTTAAATAACCTAGGAGTTACTGGATGGTTCAGGGACATGCTGAAACAAGGCCTTTTATCTATAGGACTACGCATTTTGATGATTGTAGATTGTATAATACAATGTATATCGAAATCACTTCATAAATCGATAGAAGGGACATGAATAGCTCTGTCATAAATAATATAGTAAAAGAATTTACTAACTTTATAGAAAAAAGGGGGGATTGATGCAGAGGGTTGACCAATGTACAGGGGGGTGGTACAGGGGGGTTGTACAAGGGGGTTGTACAGGGGGGTTGTACAAGGGGGTTAGAGGAATTGGCTTGCTTAAACAAAAGTATTGTCTGTTGTAAATGCCTGCTAAGTAGAACAAAGACACCTGGTCCTATTGATAAGGAAAAGCAGACACCTGGTCCTATTGATAAGGAAAAGCAGACACTTGGTTCTATTGATAAGCAGCTATTGATAAGGAAAAGCAGGCGCCTGAATCTACTGATAAGGGGGAGAAGCAGAGGGTTTATGGCTGGGACACCGACCAAACCCTGAGGCCATACTGAAGACTAAAAGGTGAAAAGTTCAAGAAGAGGAAGACTCATTTACTTCATCTTGAGGACCCCTACCCACAGGAGGAAGACTCATTTGCTTCATCTTGAGACCCCTGCCCATGACCAGAGGGGGCACTGCGCAGGCGCAAAGGACCTTCTGGCTCATTATAATATGAAGCGGGGATAGGACATGAATATGTATAGGTGTGTTGTGTAACCTTATGAATAGTATAACTTTAGAGAATAAATGTAGAGGAAAACAACACTGAGGCACGTATGACTTTGAGGAATTATCCCTGTGCGTCTCAGCACTGAATAAAAAGCATACCTACTTTACAACTTTTAATGAGTTGTGGAGTTTATCTGCACATCACCACCAACCCTTTTTATTCCCCTGTTCGGTACTTTCCCAACCTGCACATACATACAACATTCAATCTCACTGGCCACTGTGAAACTCTCCAGGTAAATAGTCCAATCACAATGTTGCAGACCCTCTCACAACCCCCCCAATCTCTGGCCTACAACTGAGATTCCTGCCACGAGTACATCCTGGCCCATCCTCCTGAGGTTTGCTTGTTTACCTTCCCTGTCCTTCAACATTCCAACTCATCACCCCAGTGCTTCCCAAACACCAAAGCCTCAGAGCTCATTCGCAAACTCTTTTTCATGCAAATCTTACAGCCTTCACTGCCCACATTATACTGGTTCCAGTTGCAGAAGGTTGGCTTATTGGCAAGGTCGATGCACAATGCATGACTTGTTCCTGCTTGTTTGTTTGTGTAACCTTATTTTGGGCATCTAAAAATAACAGCCCTTCTTAATAGAGTGTGACTTCAAGTAAAGCTGGTATGAAGCAGACTGGGATGGAAGTGTACTATATACTAATCTTACTATCAGTGTCACTGCCATGGTCATTCACTTCGTAGCCCTAGCTGCTTTTGGAAACATGGAACCAATATTTAGGCCATGTTAGAGATGGCAGTGTAGCACATGCTTATCAGGATGTGTACACACCATGGTGGAACAAAGGTTCATCTATGAAATACTGAGAACAGGTTCACAGTGCTGACAAACAAATGAAAAGAAGTCCAGGTATCCTGTGTGTACATTGCTGCTTCAAAAACCAGCGTTCCTTAGCTGTCATTACGAAATCTTACTGGGGGAGCACTGCTTTGAAAGATGCAACCCACAGATGTTCAATGTGTGCTCAATATTCCACACATCACAATAAAGTTACAGATGGAGTATTTCCGTTTGTTATTATCCATGGAGAAAATGGGGGAGGAAAAAAAAAAATCTTTAGAAGTATCTTTATATGAGATTAAAAAAAAAAGTTTACTTTCCTTTGTCTTATTCAGGCTTCCATGTCCTCAAGTATATATACAGGCATGGTCAAACCTACTCTAACTTTGAACCTGTTTGACTATTATAAGTGTGAAATTGTGACTGCACAAGTTATATTAGCATTTTGCACAGGAGATTCATGTGAGAGAGAAAAATCAGGTGCATATATGGTGTGAAAATGGAACCAGTTGAAAAAGATTGGAAAGAAATGAGGGAGGCAGAATAACAAAATAATATTCTGTGTGTAGCAAAACACAAAAGTTCAGTTATCTAGACCATCTTCTAGTCTAGCATTTGTGAATACATCACAAAATAGCTCAAAAAAGCTATTTAAAAGATAAGTGAATTACTCTTAGTAGAAATATCACAGTGAAGGCTTTTAATGTAGAGTCAGCAAAATGATGGTAAACTTGAGCTAGACTGAGAAACATACAAATCAGACCTTAAGACTATCAAAACTATAGAAGAATCACAAGATTTTTCCAGTCTTGTTGCAATAGAGATTAAAAAACTTTGTATGTAAACCAAGAAAAAGCTGAATTTCACTATATTCTGAAGAATAGATCTATCTCCTTTTGTCCATCTATTTAAACATAAACACACTTTATGCAGAAGTTATATATGTAGGAAGAAGTATTTAAAATTTCAGATGACCTTTAGGTTGTTGGCTATCTTCATACTGTTTAATTTTGCAGGTCATGTCTATCTGGTTGTTTTTTTTTAAATTATTAAACTCATTGCATCTGAGAAAGGCTCCTATATACTCTTACAAATCCACATTTCCCACAATTTTTGCAACTTGGCTTTTGAATGGTTCTGGTACTAAATGCATTTTGAAATGCATCTGTTATCCAGAAACCTAAATCAATTGCTCTTTACTTTCTGCTCCTAAGAAGGTTCTTTGAAGATTAGCCTTGATCGTGGTTTAAACTACATTTTAATTATAGCATTGCTAGTACATGGTTGAGTGTTTCCACCCCCCCAGCATAGTTGCACTTAGGTTTCGCAAGCTGCCATGGAGCAAGGCTTTTGGAAGCCCTCAAAACCCTTATTGCTTTGTTCTGTAAAATTACTGAAAAAGGAAAAAGAGAATCAGTTAATGTTTAACAATGGGCAAAAATAAGACAATGCAAATGAATGGCTTATTTTTATTTCTTTTTTGTGTTTTTTTTTAATTTCTGAAGGAAATACCCAGTAGCCCTCAGACATAGACAAGGATGACCCTTGAGTATCTCACTTGCTTAGGGCATAGTTCTGAGACTTAGACAAGTCCAAGGTAGCCTTCTGTAGAGCCTGCTGCAAGCAGAAAAACTGTATTTTTAGCATAGTAACCACATTTTGCTGAAAAGTCCTGTCATTTCTAAGCTTTCCAAATACGGAATTGTAAGGAAAAGGGACAACATGCAGAAAAAACGGCTTCCAGGCAGAAGACAGGGATGTGACTAAAAATGTTTTTCTTTTTTCTTCTTCTCTCCAAAAGGTAGCATGAAGGGGGGGGGGGGAGGGGGCAGTGACTGTGATAAAGGCAAATGATAAATGAAAGAAGGGACACTTCAACATAGTCTAGATTAACAGGAAAATTTTAAATGGACAATTTAACATGAGAGTCTGCATGGAATTATTTTTCATTAAACAATCAAAGCCTGTGATAATGCAAATGAAATCCATTTTTAGCTGCAGGAAGTTTTGAGAATTTCAGAGGAATAAAAAATATAAGAATAATAATATCATGATGGTAATTCACAGTAATTATAGAAAAGCATAATTACACAACACAAGCACTAATCAAAGCTCGGAAGAGTACTTTGGCAATCATCAGGATTTCAGAGCTATTAGCATTTACCTTTGTCATTGGGCACCACACAACAAGCATTATTAATTTCATGTCAATCTGGAGCATAAATTCCTTTATCAAATATCAGTTGATAACAACTAGCCAGAAAGATTATCTTATCTGATATTGATTTTTGTGAAGTGTTTCAGAAAGCAAGCTTTACTGGTGATTGCTTTGGAAGTAGCAATGTTGTCCTTGATGTTAGTTTTATTTCTCAGGGTTTGGGGCTATCCTGTATGAGTACAAATTCCATCAATTTATTTGCATCTACTGGCCTAAAAAAAATTCAGAGCATTGTCCATGCTTTCCCTCTTGGTATTTTATACAGGTAATTTTCCGAGCTTCATACCTCTGTATTAATAAAGTGTTATTGAGCTACGCATACATTTTGTGCTGCTGTGGTACATACATATGTCATCATTTGCGCTCACTTTAACTTCTAATATAATGTATACCTAGTCCTAAATTAGTCTATGTATAGAACTTGTTTCATTTGTTCTTTTTGTGCTTCCCTGCTGAACAGGTGTGCTTTTATTGAGACCTGCTCTGACTGCCTAGCATGAGGAAGAGAACATTTTCAGTTCATATCGTACAGGGATGGAGGTGAAGGGAACATTTGAGCCATCCAAAGTTGAATTTAAGAAAGAAGAATATGGAGCTGGAAAAGTCATGGTGTGCTTGTGGAGAAGGGATGATCACTCATTACGAGAGAAGATGGTTTTCAAGAAAACTGGAGATAAGTAAAGGTACAAGTAAACAGTTGAAATCAGGAAGTTTGAAACTGGTTTGGAGAAAGGATATCCTCTAGTGAATAAAGCCATGAACAGCATAGTTTTTTCCCTAGTAAAGAATTGAAATTAACTAAAGCACAGACAACTACAGCATAATTATTTATGCTGGTATTAAATATAAATCTAAATACTTGGAATATGCATAATGTTCTCTTAAGTTCACTAGAAGAAAAGCTGCATCTTGTGCAAAAAAAGAAACAAATAAAAGCAGATCTTTAAACATGAAATATGACTGTATGGGCTTTCATGGTTCTTTTCATAACCCTCTTTATGCATTTTATTTTTTTTAATTAAATCTTTTACTGACGTTTACAGATGTAAAAAAAATCTATACCATATGTATAGCTTTTAAGGGGAAGGGTTGTCTATAGAAGATGATATTGGCTTATAAGTAAAAGTATATTAAAATTTGATGTTCAATAAAGCAAGATGCAACTTACCAACATGCGGGTGGGGTCATTTCATAGTGTCAGAAATACTGAGTATCTTTTCCTTTTCTCAACTGTCTCGTTGTCTCAGTGCTTTTCTGTGGCTTGTGGCAGGATTGTTTTTCTGTTCGCAACTTATTTTTTTAACACACCATTCTGACACCTTGACAGTTCATGTACTAAATCAAACTTTACTATTACTGGCAGGCAGTTATTAGATGTATTGCACTTAATTAACTTTGCACCTAATTATAAGCAGTGCTGGCCGATTACAAGGAGCATAAATATATTAGTACCCTAGCTGTCACGTCATGAAAATGGCTGTTTGAACAAGTCAAGCAAAAGCAATTACCACATTGTGTGCATGTAAAATAGCAGGGTGCAGGAAGAGCAATGGACTGTTTTACTGTTTGTGGGAATTTAATTTTGCACTTTGCATTTCAGGAGGCCCAGATGAGAAAAGAGTACAAGGAAAGATTTTCTTTTGTTTGTATAAACTCTTCAGGAGTGTTTCATATATGTGAAGGGAAAACGAGATGCGTGGTAAGAGCTGCTTGGGTTTTGTTAGCTATACACGCTGTGTATCTCTAGATGATAAACCATGAGGATTACAGAATTAAGGAAGAAAAGTGGTCTAATGTGAGGTGCATTCTAGAGATCATAAGCAAAACTTGTGATTCACAGTGACACTGTGCAACTGTTACTTATACTGTAGTTGCCAAAATAAGAAGGAAAGCAGAATTTGGTCTAGTCTGTAGAAGGATATGTCATAAAGAGGAAATGTTAGCACTCAGCTGGTGTTCTGTGGCAATCTGTCTTGTGTTAGCACAGGAAGGCGACATCTCTCCTGGAAAAGTAAGCAAGGCATTCAGAACAATATTTAAAATTTCAGAAGTGGCTTTGTAAACAGTCTATGTAAGAGAGATATTTCCTTCTGTATGAATTATCTGTTCTGACCACCAGATGTTCTCTTTTGTGTGAAAAAACATAGAGTGTTACAGGTGGTTTAACTACTTGTTGTTGTGCATATAGCCTTTGAGGGACGCTGTCTTCATCTTACAAGAATCCTGCCTGAGGAGAAAACCCAAGAACTGTTAAATATCAGAATTTTTTTCATTCCTTAAAGATTTCCTTTTTTCACCATAGCAGCAGAATAGTGCCTGAATTAGCAATGTTTTGCACCTTAACTAAACAAAATGTTTTCCTTTTCAAGAAAACTTAGTCCTACTTTTAAGTATTCAGCAATGTATAGACAAACCGACTTAAGCCCAGTCATAGGAATTTTATGGTCAACAAACTGTAATATTTGCTTTGTACAACATAGTTAGTGCTTTGTGCAAAACAGTACTGAGGTCACACAAACCAGTTCCATATGTATTGGCCAAAAAAAAGGTCACTAGAACTAGAACTTGACTTTGCTTGAGGCAAATGGAGAGGAAAAGAGGGAATCACAACATGGTGCTAAATTAGTGGCTGCAGGGCATGCAGGCTGTTATTTACAAGCTCTGAATAAAGAGAACTGTGAGGATGTATGTAAACCTTTCCCAGTCCAGAACAGCCATTCATTGTTACTGACTTTTAAATAGGCTACCTGTTTTGTTTCTGATAACTCATGGAAAAGGTAGGTGGCCTTCAACAAAAGTTTTGGATGCCTTCCCAGTTGTGCTTGCATGAAGAGGTCAGTTGACTTTTTTGTGTGGAACAGCATTAAATGGAAAGTGGGGAGATACTGTGTTTTCAAATACAACATTACATCGCTGCTGAAAACATTGCTAAACTTATTAAGACCTTGGGTGACCAGCAGTTTTTACCCTGTGTAAGATAAAAATTGCAGCAGAAAAATAAACCTGCGCAGGAATGTGTCCTGATGGAATGAGTCAGGGAGACAAACACTGTCATTCAAGTAGCCTCTGCAAGAGCACTTACGCCCTTTAGCCATTCCTTACTAGAAGAGTCAAGAGCTCAGCCCAAGAGAGATGTTAAATCAGTAAAGAGTTCATGTAAAGCTCTAATATTTCATTTTTCCAGGGCAAAATTTATGCTACTGAGCTTTTCACTGATGAGAAAATGCAGGGTGCAGGGAATTAATGTGAAATAATGTGGATTTGACTCTTCTAGCACATGGAGTGTGTTAAAATGTTACTTTCTTAATTAAGTGCAACTGGAACCAGCAAATAATCAGTAATATTGAAAAAATAACAGTAAATCTAAAGCTCCATGCATTTGAGAAAAATCAGGTAAAACAGCAATGAGAAATTATTCTATCAGAATATGTCTGTATCTTATGTGTTTGCTTTTTTTTTCTGGTGTGAATGGTCATAGAATAATAGAATTATTTAGGTTGGAAAAGACCCTTATGATAGTCAAGTCCAACCTTTAACCGAGCACTGCCAATTCCAACTCTAAACTATGTCGCTAAGTGCCACATATACACATCATTTGAATAACTCCAAGGAAGGTGAATTGTCCTTGCTGCATGGTTGCTGCTTTGGTGCAACTGCTATTAATTGAAGTATTCAACCTGAATAGTCAGTTTGTGTGTGCATGTATATATATATATACACATACACGTGTATGTGTGCTTTCTTATGTTGTATCATAAACCTATGGTGAAGGAAATAGAGACACGTGCAAAGATGCACATCACCACTTCTCAATTTTGAAAGAGGATATCATAACTTTTTTGTGCAGCACCCCTGTCTGGGGTGGGATGCAGGGGTTTCTATGTACAAAGGGCCAAGACACTGCTAGCTGGCTGTTGTATTAAGTACTGATCATGTGACAACAACAGTTGGCCTAGTTTTTCCTTGTCCCCCTCCCCTTGAGAATAGTGGAGAAAAGTCTGGGAAGTCAACTGTGGCAGCTGTTTTGCCCACTTACAGAGTATTCCATTAGCCACTGTGGAGTCCTTAGTTTTTCCATACTTACGATATTTGGACTAACGGGTTATATAGGAATCATAGAATAGTTAGGGTTGGAAAGGACCTTAAGATCATCTAATTCCAAACCCCCTGCCATGGGCAGGGACACCTCCCACTAAACCATGTCACCCAAGGCTCTGTCCAACCTGGCCTTGAACACCACCAGGGATGGAGCATTCGCAGATTCCCCGGGCAACCCATTCCAGTGCCTCACCACCCTAACAAGAAAGAACTTCTTCCTTATATCCAAGCTAAACTTCCCCTGTTTAAGTTTGAACCCATTACCCCTTGTCCTATCACTACAGTCCCTAAAGAAGAGTCCCTCCCCAGCATCCCTATAGGCCACCTTCAGATACTGGAAGGCTGCCATGAGGTCTCCATGCAGCCTTCTCTTCTCCAGGCTGAACAGCCCCAACTTTCTCAGCCTATCTTCATATGGGAGGTGCTCCAGTCCTCTGACGATTCTCTTGGCCTCCTCTGGACTTGTTCCAGCAGTTCCATGTCCTTTTTATGTTGAGGACACCAGAAATGCACACAATACTCCAGGTGAGGTCTGCAAGAGCAGAGTAGAGGGGCAGGATCACCTCCTTCTACCTGCTGGTCACATTCCTTTTGATGCAGCCCAGGATATGGTTGGCTTTCTGGGCTGCAAGCGCACACTGCCGGCCCGTGTTTATTTTCTCATTGACGAACACCCCCAAGTCCTTCTCCGCAGGGCCGCTCTGAATCTCTTCTCTGCCCACCCAGTAGCTGTGCCTGGGATTGCTCCAACCCAGGTGTAGGACCTTGCACTTGGCATGGTTAAACTTCATAAGGCTGGCATCAGCCCACCTCATAAGCATGTCAAGGTCCCTCTGGATTGCATTCCTTCCCTCCAGCATATCACCCGAACCACACAGCTTGGTGTCATCAGCAAACTTGTTGAGGGTGCACTCAATTCCACTGTCCATGTCACTGACAAAGATGTTGAACAAGACCAGTCCCAACGCCGATCCCTGAGGGATACCACTCATTATTGGTCTCCAGCTGAACATTGAGCCATTGTCCTGGGTTCAGCAGTAGCAGTCATTTTTCTCCTTCTTAGTAGCTGGTGCAGCACTGTGTTTTGACTTTCTGCCTGGGAACAGAGCTGATAAGTAACAGTGATGTTTTAGTCTGACCAAGGACTTTGTGAGCCTCATGCTCTGCCGGGGAGGAGGGGAAGCCGGGAGGAAGCAGAGACAGGACACCTGACCCAAGCTAGCCAAAGAGGTATTCCATACCACAGCACGTCACACCCAGGATGTAACTGAGAGTTACCCGGAAGGGCGAGGACTGCTGGGTTTGACTAGGTATCGGTTGGTGCTTGGTCAGGCTGGGGGGGCTGTTGGTGCTGAGGTGTTTTATTCTCTTCCCTTGTTATTTCCTTTATGATTATTATTATTGGTGGTAGCAGTAGTGATTTGTGTTATACCTTAGTTACTAAACTGTTCTTATCTCAGCCTGTGGGAGTTGCATTCTTTTCGATTCTCCTCTCCATCCCTCTGGCAGTAAGGGGAGGGAAAGAAGGGGGGTTGGAGTGAGTGAACGAGCTGCCTGGCTGGTTTTAAACCACTACGGCCATTGAGCAGAACTCTTTACATGCAGCCATCCAACCAGTTCTTTATCCACCAAGTGGTCCATCCATCAAATTGATGTCTCTCCAACTTAGAGACAAGGATGTCGTGTGGGACAGTGTCTAACGCTTTGCACAAGTCCAGGTAGATGACATCAACTGCTCTACCCCTGTCCATCAGTTCTGTAGCCCCATCATAGAAGGCCACCAAACTGGTCAGGCAGGGTTTCCCCTTAGTGAAGCCATGCTGGCTGTCACCAACCACCTTGTTGTTTTTCATGACTGAGCTGGTTATTTGTTCTTTTTTTTTTTTGTAGATGAGACATTTCTCTGTCATAACTTCTGAAGACCTATAGTTTTAGCACACTCCTAAGACACCAAAGCCTTCTAAGATCCAAGGATGTTGTCTTACCTAGTTTTTACCCTTTTTTGGAAGCTTCTAATGAAAAACTGAAAATTGCAGTGATATATGAAGGTATGGAAAAGTCCTGTTAGATTTTCCAT